TCTAAATAATTAATTAGAATTGATTAGTTTTTCAAATAATAGATTATAATTGATTAATTTCTCAAATATATATTAAAAAATTATAAATAAAAATATAAAGTATTTAAGAATATTAATTATTGTAAACATAAAGTAGAACATGGGAGGAGATGAGGATGATAATATAATGATGGAATTGACAAAAATTGAGAATTAAGAAGTTAAAAAAAGAAAAATTGAAGAAAATAGAGATTTAATTATACTTTTAATAAATTTAAGATAATACTAGTTTTGATTTTTATTTTTAAATATTTATTTTAATTTTTTAAAACAGAGAAACTATAATTTTAGTTTCTAAATACTAAATTTAAAGAATTAAATTTATTATTATTTAATCTTTTAATTTTAGTATTAAAAATTTAAATTATATTTTATTAAATTAAAATAATTACAATATATTTTTCTACTTTGAGAATGAAAAATATAATTAAACTAAAACTGAAAATATTATAATACATTTTTGAACTCTTTTTGAATGATTTTTTTTCCTAATTTTTTATAAAGTCAATTTTAATATTTAAAAGTATTTAACATTTTGCTTTCGAAACGCTTTCTAGTATTACCAAATTTAAAAACATAATATTCAAAAAAATAGTTAATGTAAGTTTTGATGATGATCAATTAAATTTTCAAATGATCGATCATATTTCAACCTATATAATAGCAGTTCCACTTTAACCGCTATTTAAACTATATATTAGATGTTATGTTTTAAGAGCGGTTCAGATGGAACCGCTATGATATACAATCATTATGATCGATTAAAATTTCAAATAACCGATATTGGATAATTTTTTCAAATAATTAATTATAATCGATTAGTTTTCTAAATAATTGATTAGAATTGATTAGTTTTTCAAATAATTGGTTATAATTGATTAATTTCTCAAATATATATTAAAAAATTATAAATAAAAATATAAATTATTTAATAATATTAATTATTGTAAACATAAAGTAGAAAAATGATGTTCTACATTTAAAAAAAATACTAAAAAATATTAAAAGTTATACTTTAAATTAATGAAAATATTTTAAAAAAGTTATATTTATTAAAGTATTAAAAATTATTTTGTAATATATAAGTTAAAAAAATTATCATTAAATTTTTTAAAAATTATTAGTTTTGTAATTTATATACAATGAAAATAATATAATGGTATATTAGTATATAAATATATAAATATATAAATATATATAAATATATATAAATATATATAAATATATAAATATATAAATATGTAAATATATCAATATATCAATATATAAATATATAAATATATCAATATATAAATATATAAATATATAAATATATAAATATATCAATATATAAATATATAAATATATAAATATATAAATATATAAATATATAAATATATAAATATATAAATATATAAATATATAAATATATTAATATTTAAATATATATTAAAATATATAAATATATTTGTATCTATAGATTTTATAAATATATAAAGATATATATATATATATATATATATATATATATATATATATATATATATAAAGATGTAAATATATAAAGATATAAAGATATAAATATATATAAAGATATAAAGATATAAATATATGTAAAGATATAAAGATCTAAAATATAAAAATATAAAGATATAAATATGTAAAGATATAAATATATATCTTTAATATTTTGTACATGTAAATATAATTTATATATATTTTTAAATATTTTTTTAATATTTATTTTTTAAAATATAATATTATTTTTAAATTTTAATATTTAAATTTTTTTTCAAATATATAAAATGTATAAGGATATAAATAAATATATAAATATATCAAAATATATATATATATATATATATATATCAAAATATAAATATATAAATATATAAATATATCATTATATAAATATATAAATATATAAAAATATATAAATATATAAATATATATATATATATATATATATCAAAATATATATATATATATATATATATATATATATATATATATATATATCAATATTATCCCCTCATATATTATTATACATTATTAGCGTAATTTTAGTTTAATTATAAATTAGAATACAAATATATTATATTATATTAATATACCATTATGTTATAATATTTGTAATTTATATTTATAGTGTATAAATTACAAAACTAATAATTTATATACTATACTAATATATAATTTGTATACTATACTAATAGTATAATATACTATATTATAATATTATTTTTATACAAAACTAATATCTTTATATCTTTATATATAAATATATAAATATGGAAAGATATAAATATATGTAAAAATATAAAGATATAAATATATAAAGATATAAATATATATATAAAAATATAAAGATATAAATATATCAATATATAAATATATCAATGTATTAATATTTAAATATATATTAAAATATATAAATATATTTTTATTTATAGATTTTATATTTATATATTTATACGGATATACATTTATTTGTATATAAATATAATTTATTTGTAAGTTATTATTAAAAAATCCTAAGTAGCTCAGTGGTTGGAGTTTCGATGATCCAACTCTAAGGTATCGGGTTCGAATCTTGACAATGACAATAAACCTAATAATAAGTTAATCTTCTAAAAAATATAATATAATTAAGAGTTAGGGAAAATAAATATAAATAAAAACTTAAATAAGCAAAAATATAATTTAAAAAGAGGTAGGGGAAATAAATAATAAATATAATTAAAAATGTAAATAAATAAAAATAATTAATTTTGTTATTGATTTAGCGACCGATTTAAATCGGTCGCTATTTTTCTTAACTTTGTTATTGATCTAGCGATCGATTTAAATCGATCGCTATTTTTTTAACTTTGTCACTGATTTAGCGACCAATTTGATATATTAATTTCGATCGCTATTTCGCGATCGAAATAAAATCGGTCGCTATTTTGCGATCGAAATGAAAATCAGTCGCTAACACATTAACGACTTGACTTTTTACGACGACGCATTTCGGTCGCTAATTTCGGTCGCTAACTGATTAGCGACCGATTTTTTGCCCTTAGCGACCGATTTTTTTCGTCGCTAAAATGCTTTTTTCTTGTAGTTTATCTCTATTTCAATTTTAATTCTCAATTTAATTTTAGATTTATCGTTTCCATAAATTTTAAAATAATTTTTATTTTGCACTTTTAATTAAAAGAATTTTTTTTAATTTATAAATTTCGAGTTATTTAAATTCTACTTCAATTGAATTTTAATTACTTGCATATTTTATTTTAAAGCAATTTTTAATTTTGCACTTTTAATTAAAAAATACTTTATTTTAATATTATAAATTTCTATTATTTAAATTATGCTCTAATTTAATTTTAGTTGTTGTTAATATTCTACTTCAATTTGATTTTATTTTTATTATTTTGCATAAATTTATTTTTTTCACTCTTTCATCCATCCCCTATTTCCTGTTATTTACTATTTTTAGAGAAAATAATATATCATAATGATTGTATTCTTATAATTATGTCATTGTGAGATTCGATACACGTTAACTGTATTACATTAGTTTAACAACTTATTTATTATTTTTATCCGTATTTTATGCTACCAAAATGTTATTTTGCCAGAAAAATCCATATTAACATGTGATGGTCATGGTTAATTTTATTATAAAAGGCTAAATATTTGTAAAATTGATTATGAGAAAGTATTGTTTTATTATGAATAACAACACAAATTAAAAAAAATTTATGTGCGTAACTAGTTATTTTAGTTTTAAGCTCTTTGTTGTGTGGTGAATTAAAATTCATAAGTTATTATGCTTTATACTAGAACACTTAGTCTCTAAGAATGTGTAATTAATGTGTATTGAAATCGTGGTGTTATATGGTGAGGGGACTATTTATAATTTAGTAGGATCCTCTCTATACGAAGATTATGAACCTTGAATGAAAAATGGATATTATATCTCCTTTAATAGATCAGATTTTTCCTTTATTATAAGTTGTTTAATTATGTACTGTAAAAAGGATACTCTCAAGACATATAATTAATGTACTTCAAAATTAAACATATATAATTATATATAGTAGGAATTTCGTTTTGTAATTGTTTTTTCAATTAAAAATACAAATATTATAATTTAAAGAAAAATAATTATTGTAATTTATATAAAATAATGAGAAAAAAATAGAAAAATATATATTTTTAAAAAGTGAAGAGAAAAAAATTAAATTAAATTTAAAAATATTTTAAAAAAATTAATTATAAAAAAATTGTAGAATTAACTTAAACTATTGATTAATAGGATAAATTGGCTAAAGGAGTTTATGACCATTATGTATTTGTATTTTTAGACTGTAAGATAGCATGAATATATAAGAGACATCTAACTTCATATCCACGTAAGGAGGGATAGTGATGGAATAATAACCGATAAAGAGGAATGACACTGCAACATCATTATCTTCTTTGTCATTGAATTTGTTTTGTAACAAATGATGCTTTATGTGCAGTGGCAATTTCAGTTATACAAGTATAATTAAGTAACCTAATATAAAATGTAAATTAACTTGATGTGATGAAGGTTTGAGTGCCATTATTAGGTACAAAAACATTTTATATTTTATTTTTACATATCTCATAATTATATATATTAATTACTTACTTAATAAACTTAAAAGTATTTAAAAAAAATGTTTCTAATAAATAAAAAAAATAAAGTTAGTGATAAGTTAAACAAATCCTTTGAAAACAAAAAGATATGATTATGCATCTAATGAGATCCAAGTCTTTTAGAATAATGGAATACTTTTCTGTCTTCTCAGTATAATTTATGCTAGCGTCCTGACCAAGCAAAGGACCGGATTCCCCAGCTAGATTTATAAATTGGTGGCTCAGTTAGGTGATAATCAAGATGAAGCACATTCAGAGTACCAAAAATAGATAGAAAATATTTAGGGTGTGACTAAGTTCTCCAAATCATGGATTTCACAGGTATGTTGAGAGACATGCTTGCAGATATGGAGGCCCAGGAAGCAGATCTAAACTCATACAACAACCATGGCGAGGGGTCTCAGAACATCAGTGGTAGAAAGAACAATAGTGGTGAAAAATCAGGTGATCGTACCATTTATAATATAACCTACAACGTTCGTCACTCTCCCAAAAAGAAAACCCCGCCTAGAAATAAGAGTTCTGATATGCGTTTTGATATAGATAGGAGTCTTGCTCTGAGAAGTAATACTGGTGGTGCTATCGTGAATGCCAATGGAAATTTGATGGTAAACCGTTGTGTTATGCGATAGTAGAAATAAAAACCCTACTTGTGCTGGTGATTTATATGTATGTGCTAAGCAATATGATCAAGTGAGCAGCAGTGGTAGTTTATTCCCAATAATTATTTAGAGAGGGATGCTACTATACTAGACATCCTCTTGGTTCACAATTTTCCCTTTGGCTCTATTCTTATTATTAAGTTTTTTTTTTCTTCCACCGTTATCTACTCCTCTGCCTGAAAATAATTGAAATTAAAGGTACAAGAAGATAGCAATAAGTTATTTAAAAATAGGGCTATTAACTTGAGTTTATAATTTGAAAAATCATATAATATATTTTTAATATATGATGATATGATAAAACTATATTCCATTATTTTTTTTAAAGTAACATGAACTTTGCTTGATAAAAAGATATAAATATTCGGTAGTTAGAATTAATAGAATTTTTTTATTGTGTTGAAATTTATTTTCAATATTAAAAAAAGGTTGATTATTGAGGAATGTAATGACGGTTGTTATGAATATAAAATCATCGTGAGCACTAGAAAGGGTCAAAGACACTGACCACCACCCTCTTTCGAACTCTTATTTTCACAGTTTAGAAGCAATGTTCATCATGCTATTATTTCCTTCTTCTCAATCATAAAACCAAAAATAAAAAAATCCAAAGTATCACTTAAAATACCAAACTTTGTTTTTTTTTTCAATATTAACATTTCATTTGGAAATTTTAATTTATTTATAATTAGTTTTACAATCAACTTTTCCTCTAGAATCAATTAACTGATAATATTAAAATTATATTATTATTAAGAACCTGTTTGTGAGGATTCTTCTATAAAAATCATTTCTTCACAAATAATGATAGAATTTCCTCCTTGGCATCATCCAAAAGTTTCCCCACAACTTGTGAAAAATAAATAAACATTTTTTTCCTTGTTGATTGTGATGGAAAGTACCATTACAAATTGTGACTGATTGGACTGTCACAAATTGGGAGAAGCTTGAATTTATCGACAAGTTTTTTAACTCTATTTGCAGCATATATAAATTCCTTCACAAATTGGGAAGAATAGAGCTATAACAAAACTTTGTGACAAACTTATAGTCTCTCACAAATTAATCATTATAAATAGTCTATATCAATGAATAAAATATCTATAGTCTATTGACATAAATTTTTATTATTGTATTAATAATAATATAAACATTCATTTTTTATATTACTAATTTTTTGTTATAATAGTTTAAATTTTAATATATTATGATTCCATTATCTACAATCTACGGAATTGTACAATTTTTTTAAAAAATGAATGAATTTCAAAAAATAAGTATACGAAAAAAAAACCTTATTCATTGGAAAAACACAGGATAAATTACAAAAAAAAAATAAAAATAAACACAAGCATGAGAGAAAATTATAGAAGTGAAATTAGAAGCATGCAGAGAAAAGAGAAGAAAAAAACTTATCTGATGAAGGGTAAACATTTGGGAGATCCATGTCATGCTCGATGGATAATAAATAAAGAAGGTTAATGTGGTTAGAGATAATAAATAAAAGTTGTTTAAATTACTAATTAAAGCAAAAATGATTAACTAATATTTATTTAAATGTTTAAAAAAAAAACTACATATTCTAAGAAATTTTTTCGAAGTCCCCTTGTGTTGTAAAATGAAACATAATTTCTACAAGAAACTAACTACTTATTTCGTTATGTTTAGGTATTAATAAAATAAAATTTTCTGTAAAACACAAAATCTGTTAGAATTGCGTATTAAGAAATCAAATGTGAGAGTTAGGGAAGTATAAAACCTTTATAATTAAAAATTTAATTTTAAGTATAAAGATAATATTATATAGATATCGATAGCTTTTGTTTTTTTCTTCTTATAGATAGGGTGTAGCATCACATATTAATGTAGCATAATTTAAAGTATCTGATGCCCACGAACGCAAAGATAATATAGACAAAATTGAAGGGATATAATTAGAATATATTGAATAAAAAATAAAATTAAAACTTAATTTTAAATAACAATAATTGAAGGAATAGAGAAATTTCCGTTTTATTCCGCCGGACCATTCAAAATGTAGAATAGGATAAAAGAATCTAAACAATAATTAATGGCTATTACAAGATGTATTTTTGAGGGGTGAATTAAAATGAAAGCATATCTAATTATCTATTTAAATTAGTTTTATAAAATAATAAGTTTCAATATTTTTATTTTATTTTCTTAAGTTTTTTTCTCACTGCAGATATCATAAAAATACCCTTTTACGTTGATGACGAATTATACACACAAATTTTCGTAAACCCTTTTATTAATTAAAATTTATTTAAAATAAAAAAAAATTGTGAGGGAAACTGGATAACAAGTAAGACAAGATTTTATAATTTTAATGAATTATAATTTAAGATAATGTGTATTTTAAGAATAAAAATTTGTCAGAGTTAGACTTTAGGTTTGATTTAATGTTCTACAAAAATATAAAGTTTCAATTTAATTTATTTACTTTCACAAACATTTCCAAAATATATAATCTCACTTGCATGAAAACCTGACCAAACTTACCAGCGTGCTCTTGAAGACTTTTTTTATTCAGTTTCAAAAAACTATACTAAACTTATTTATTATTAATCTAAATAGGTTCATCGATTATTACAATTTTTTATTATATAATTTTTTATATACAATATAACTCAATAAATTTTACTTATTTTAAAAGCCATTTTTAAGAAGATACTTAAACAAAATATAATTTTATCTTCCAATAATTTTAAAGTTTCCCCTTTTATGTATGTCAACATGTTTTTAACGACAGTTAGTATAATAATTAAAAAAGATAAATAAATAAATTATTATAATAAATATTTAATATAGTAATAACACTTAAATATATTAGTTTTATTTACTTAAAAAAAAGGTTAAATGAGCCTTAAAAGTTAACTAAAGAAAAGGTCAAATAGTTTAATATGTTAATTTTTGTTAACACAGTTTCAAAATCACTCTCTTTTGCTTACCTTGAAGTAACATTGATTGGTCTTAATCAGGTAACTTTACTTATTGTGGTGAATTATTTTCACCGGTGTGTTTGTAACATCTTTTATTCATAATATGTTATCTGAAATGGGCATCACAAAATGAAGTGTTAGCTGAAATATCAGTGTAGAAAGCAATGAGTCAATTAAAGCACTTGATGAGAGAAAAAACAGAGCCGAAATCTGACACAAGATGGAAGAAAGAGGAAGAAATTGGTGACGCATGAAATCCATTACATTATTACAGACTATAAGAGCTTTAGCGGTCAACATTATTTAATGCTGCTACTCAACATAACACGGTAATAATCATGTGCATATGTTGGTCAGCATAGATGATTAATAACGACCGTAGTAGTTATTTGTAGAGGAGTTAAAGCCACCCTCGATGTAACCCCCGTTGCCATTGCCATTGAAAGTGCCACTGTTATTGATAACACGTCCACCGTAGTGGTTGGAGGCGCGAACCTTGTTACGGTTACCTGCATATTGGCCACTGTTGATGGTTGCACCCTTGAAATCCTGGGGGCCACTGCCATGGTTGTTGAATGAGTTTGAAGTACCATTATTTTGAGGGAAGAACCCATTGTTGAATGAGTTTGACCCTTTGGCTGCTTGCTCAGCCTGAATCATTTCCATGATTCTCTGCATCAAGTCTCCCATTCTGCAGATCTTTTCTCTTTGCACCTCACCCCTCTCAAGTTGTTTTCTTGTTGAATTGTCTTAATGTTACCAACTGACTTGGCCTAATTTATAGCTGCAAGGAAACGAATCCGATTCTTTTCTGGTTTATGTATGATTATTTAACTAACAACTTGGACTCAAGATAAGTGTTTCACAAAATATGTTATTGTCTCCAATATCAAGTGCCTTTCATGCATGCAAGCAGAAGCCATGTATATTTGTATCCGCACAAGTTCTGCTTCAATCTCAAGTGTTTGACTTGACAGTATTTCTGCTATCACGTGTCGCAAGGGTATTGTTTGTTTTACGTAATATCACATAACGTCATGCAAGCTTACGATACCCACTATGCCAAAACGGATGGCCAAAATGAAACCTAGCCAGCTTTAATAATTTAGACCAAAAGCAAGAATTTGAAATCCAATTCCATTAGAATCTTTCTTTCCAAATTTTGGCACCTGTTTACATCATGCTTAGTAAATGATCTCAATAATCAACGAATCAAATAATTAAACAAAAATTTTCCTATGGAAATCTAGAATTAGATATGATATGTTAAACACTATATCATCCTCAAAGCCATAGACCACAAAACCGCATGACAAATGAAAATGAAAATTTGCTAACCTTTCTTTTACCTGAGAACTGACCAAATTGAATAAACAATACCCTATAAAGAGAACTAAAAACAGGGGAAAAACCAAGCCAAAGAAAAATATTAAGCAAATACTATCACGAATTATTCTGTAAAAAAACCATTAATTTAGTAAAATTATTCTGTCCAAAATTTATTTTGAGTCAAACATCAAAGATACAGTCCTACTTAATGTTCAATAAAAGCAGAATATGAAACACTTCATTTATTCACATAGAATCAGAATATGAAGAACATACTTAAAAAAACACAAGACAAAAATAATTCAACCTTAAAAGAAGCTTAAACTATAAATAAATTTATAAGTTTCTACCGTAAAGTAGGATAACACATACTCCATAGTAATAGTGAAAAGATATATCATGATTTAAAATATATCTGAATTGAGAAAAATTGATTGACCTTTTTGCGCATTATTATTATACAATCAGTAGTGAAGATTTGTTATTAATATGTTTCTTTGGTGAAACATATTCCTCAATCAACATGCGGTATCAATATGTAAAGAACACGCCTTGCTCAGTAGTAAAATTTTTGTTCATAGTTTGTTTGCCATAAAATTAATACTATAAATTATACTGTAAAAGTAGAGATTATACATACCTATTGCGTGGTAACTTAATTATCTAATTAAATTCTATTAAATTGGGTTTTGGGTTGGTTTTTTACATGATTTAATCAAACTCAACTTAATCTCATATAATTAAATCTAATTAGATTTGGTTTTGGGTTGGTTTTCTATGTTATTTGATCAAACTCATATTATTTTACTAATTGAGTGATATATTTTGTATGTTGAACGGGAGATAAACCTAAAATAATTTAATCAAAATTATTTGAATAATTTAATCATATTATTTTACTAATTGCTATTTGAGGAATGATGTTTTGACTAGATGTCAGAAACATTTATCCAACAATCGATTATATTATTATAATAATATTATTTATTATTATTATTATTATTATTATTATTATTATTATTATTATTATTTTATTTTTATTATTTTTAGGTGTAGGATGAGAATTTGAATGTCGAAATATCAACCTTGTTATTTACACCCTTTTGTACTGCTTGAATACCTATGAAGCATCAATTCCACTTCACCACTTTTGATGCTGTAGTCCCACGCTGGCACGATCAACAAGACTCACAACTCAGATTCCTTATTCCTCGTATAAATTCCAAGATAGAAGCTGGACAGAGAAAAACAAAATAAATATTTTAATATAAATTTCATCTTAAAATCTGATCAAATCCACCAATTTGAAGCAACAAAACTAATATAAGCCATAAATATTATTTTATTATTTTTTATTTAAATTAAGTACTAAGAGATTTTATTATCTAAAAAAAATATTAGATTATTATTTTGATTTAGATAGTTATAATTGAGATATTATTGATATTTGATATTTTGTAATATTTTTACTTTATATATACATAGAGTATCTGAATAAAAATATACCAACATGATATATCAGAAATACACATATACAAAACCCTAAAAATTCTCAACAAATTGGTATCAAAGTTTTTGTTTGATACAATGGAAGGAGAAATAAATTTTTCACAAGTCGCTATTCTAGTTTTTGATGGCGAAAGTTATGGCTTATGGGCTGTGAGAATGCAATTCTATTTTGAATGATTGAATGTATGAGAAGTTTTAGAAAAAGATTATATTGTTGATCCACTACCTGAAAATCACACCATAGCTGAAATGAAATTTCACAGAGAAAGAAAAACGAGAAATAAAAGCTAAATTTTGTCTGTTTACTGGTAATTCACAAATAATCCTCACCATAATCATGACGCTAAAATCACCCAAAGAATTTTGAGATTATTTGAAAGATGAATATGAAGGGGATGAGAAAATTTGAGGTATGCAAGTTCTAAACTTGATAAAGAAATTTGAGATACAAAAGATGCAAGAGTTTCAAACAATTAATGAATACTCAAACAAATTGTTTGGTATTGCTAACAAAATAAAATGGTTAGGCAAGGAATTTTCTAATTCTAGAATAGTTGAGAAAATTCTGATAATTGTGTCTGAGAGATATGAAACTTTTATTGCTTTATTGGAAAATACAAATGATTTTTCTAATATTACTTTGGCAGAAGTATTACATGCTTTACAAGCGCAAGAACAACAAAGATTGATGAGAGGAGATCATGTTGCTGATGAAAGTTCTTTATTATATCATGTTGGAGGTTCTCTCCAAGCCAAGAACAACAAAAGTACAAAATCACGAGTCTTTTCTGTCTGTCCTTATTGCAAGAAAAATAATCACACACCCAATATATGTTGGTGGAGGCCTGATGTGAAATGTTACAAATGTGTCAATTGGGACATATAGAAAAGATATGAAAATCACAACCAGAGGATAGAGTATAAGAGCTTCTTCTTGCATCAACATGCTCTACAATTAACAAATTCACGGGTTGACTTATAGATAGTGGTTGTACAAACCACATGACTCATGATTGAGAATTTTTCAAAGAGCTCAACGAATCACATATTTCTAAAGTGAGAATCGGTAATGGATAACAAATGGATGTGAAAGTTACAACAATAATTACAGTTAAAAGTCATTCGAGTATCAAATTGATTTTTGATGTTTTATATGTTCCTGATATTAATCATAATTTGTTAAGTGTTGCTCAATTATTGGAGAAAAGTTATAAGGTGTCTTTTGAACACAAACTTTGTGTGATTAAAGATATAAATAACTTGAAAATATTCAAAGTTCATATGAAAGGAAAAAATTTCACTTTAGATTTGATGAAAGAAGAGATGATTACAAACGAAGATATAAAAAAAAAAGTCAAAGAAAAAACATGAAGAATATTTCTTGAAGGAACTTGATTTTAAGGAGGAAAATAAAGATGTAGATGAAGAAATCGTTTCAAACGTCCATCAAAGAGTCAACGATATTACCATGAAGAAGTTTGAAAGAAACAAAGGAGATGAATTTGATAAAGGAAGAAATACTTTGATGAAGAAAATGAAGTTGAATGAAGATGTGATCTTATACAAGAAAGAAGATGACAAAAATACAAAAAAAAGGAAAAATTATAAGAAAAATAAAAGAAAAAATATCAAATTCAAATAAATAGATATTAAAGTAAGAAAGAATTGTGAGAATATTACTTTATTATATTAAGTATTAAGAGATTTTATTATCTTTTAAAAGAGAAAATAAAAAGATATTAGATTATTATTTTGATTTAGTTATGATTGAGATATTATTGATATTTAATATTTTATAATATTTTTATTATATGCATACATAGAGTACATAAATAAAAATATACTCACATAATATATCACAAATACACGTATAAAAACCCTAAATATTCTCAATAATATATATTTCTATCTCAAGTTCTTCTGTTTAATATTCCAGTTTTGGATTTCCTAATTACATTGTTTACCGTTAAATCCTGAATTCGTTCTGAATTAATGGAGTTAAAGAATCTTACCGGGTAATAGTTACTGGTTCAGTTACGTGAAGGTGCCAATGATCCCAATGGATCTCCAACTTGCATAGACATTTTTACCCAAAATGAGGAAAATGTTACCAGATTCTTAGCGCCTGGAATGTTACCACCTTCTATAGGAGGGCAATAACTTATATTTGACTCTGCCAAAAGATCCACAGTAATGAAAATTGGACTGACAGAGCTACCAAATAGATAATTAACATCCATATTTTATAAAATAAAAATAAATATCGTATTATTTTTAAGAAGTTATATTTAGACATGATTTGTAACCTGTTTGATATTTTTTTTACTTGAGATTAAATATTTCTTTTTAAGCATTATAGATTCTTTCATCTTCTAACTTAAATATTGGAGGACGTTTACAAATGAACAAGACATAATGAGAGAAGTCTCGTTATACCACTCAATCAACCTCTGAAATCTACGTAAAAATAAAATAAAATCAAAAGAATCAAGAATACGAGGCTAAACTACATAATCTAGTTAGAAAAATAAACATATATGATGGTAAACAAATCTTTATAGGCTTTGAAAAGCTTGGACCAATGACAGAACTATTTTCAACATCTTGTTTGGCAAGACATTTTGTACAAGAGTAATAAATATTAAAAATAGAACCTGCGCAAATGCCGATCCAGGTGCTGAACATCGATCACTTGAACTTAGTAGTAAGACAAGCCAAAGAACACACCTGCATAATTTTAATCCAAAACAATTCTACAACTACTAATTGATCACCCTGCAAACACCAAATCTCAAGATCAAAATGGAAAAAAGGAACCATACGATCGCAGTTCACAAGTTATTGCTCACGAGTTCACAAGAAGCCAAAGTGATAACTTCTTCCAACTCCCACTCATACTTAAATTAGAATATACCCAGAAATAATCTGTACATAAATGAATAATATTAAATGAACAATATGCCTTAGATCTTAACTCTTCATATACATTTACTTTTGGGATTTTCCCATATGGGTTTTTTACCTTGATGTCCATTGTCTTAATATCATGGTTTACTATTGATTAACCTCATTTAATATATATATATATATATATATATATATATATATATATATATATATATATATATATATATATATATATATATATATATATATATATATATATATATATATATATATATATAATGCTTTTGATTATGGAACACCTTATCCGAATCCTCTTGAGTTACTCTATTCAAAAGACGGATATCTCTCGTTTCAGTTTATCCGGTATAAAACAAATCAACAAGTCCTAACTTGATGCTTAATTTTTTGGTTGGATTGGCTCTTAAAGTTAATAGCCATATGAGTATATAGTATATATATTAACTCTAATCTATGTCACAAAATTGAAGTATTTTGCTCAAACTCGCGTAAAAAGTGATGAGTTCAATATATATGTAAAGAAAGAGAAAGAACAGGACGAAAAGCATATTGGAGTTAAGATAAATAGCAACTACCGTTTCATTTATTATATAGAGTAGAGCATTAGAGCTGTAGCTCTACATTATTTATGGGTTTATATATAATACAACATAACATAGTAGATCGTGCATAGCTTATGTGAAATACAAATAATAATTAATAGTAGTTCATTGTTTCAGCCTTAAAGCCACCCTCGATGGTCCCTCCGTTGCCATTACCATTGAAAGTCCCACTGTTATTCAGAACCTTTTCACCGTAGTGCTCTGAGTGCTTAAACCTGTTACGGTTTCCAGCATACTGGCCACTGTTGATGGTTGCACCACCGAAATCCTGGGGGCCAGTGCCATGGTTGTTAAAGGAGTTGGAAGAACCATTGTTGGACCCTTTGGCTGCTTGCTCAGCCTTGATCATTTCCATGATTCTCTGCATCAAGTCTCCCATTCTGATCTTCTCTTTGCACCTCTTCTCTCTCAACTTTTTTTCTTGTTAAATTGCCTTAACCTTACCAACTGACTAAGCCTAATTTATAGATGCAACAAAAGGAATCCAATTCTTTTATCGTCTATGGTGATATGGGGAGAATATATCCATCATCAAGGTTTGCAAAAGGGCATTGTTCTTCCACACAAACTGTACTCGTTGCAATTTGTGCTCAGTACGAAATACAGCAAAACATCAATCAATACTATAAATTCGAATCCAAATCCAATTCTATTCGAATCTTTCTGTTCAGTTTTCGAGAGTCATGCGTTTTACAGATATAACATTATTATTCTTATTTTATTCATCGCTATCCTTAAAACATTTCTTGACATGTCCATGAATCTCAGCCTTTGCTTTTTGCATTTAGACGGCCTAAATTTATCAGTTTTTTATATATATATTATTGTAATATAGATAGAGAGTTTGTAGGTAACATTTTTATTTAATAAAAAACATAATAATTTCAATTTGATATATTAACAGTATATTAAACATTTTATAATTGATAAATAAAAAATAATAATTAATGTTTAAATAATAATATTATCAACAGTAATAATTTTATACGGATAGAAAAAAATGAATTAATTTGATAAATAATAAACATACAATTTTTTTAATAAAATAATAATATTAAAAATAATCATACTATATTTTATATTATTTAACAACAAGCCTTTTTTTAAGAAAAACTTAGCAAATAAAAAAATAATACTAAATGTATTTAATATTAAATATATATGCGAGAGACTGAAAATAGTTACTATTTTAATCAGAATTAGCAACTGAGTTGATTCCGTCAATATATGGAGATTTTAATACAGTTTATAATAATTTAGTGGATACAGACAGCTACGGGTTTCGTGAATGGTGATTATCCGCCGCTATTTTTGGTCTCTAAATAAACTATGACCTAAATTGTATCATCGCTATTTCGGTCACTAAATAGAGACCAAATCATATTGGTCGCCGTGTTTCCTTTTTTTTGTAATGAATTTACTAGAACAGTTACTCCTAGTTCTTAAGTACTTCCACCAAATCAATGTAATACATTTCTCAACTTACTAAATTGTATCTTCCTCTGTAATCAAGAGGGCACCGCATGTTCATTTCTCAATAGTACTCTCTGACTATATTACTCATTTTTTATCATACTCGTCAATGTATGGAATCATGAACATAGATTACATTCATATAATATTTTTGTCTTTTAGACATCTACATTCATAATCATGCAAATTAAGTGTAAGAATTTATATAAATATTACAAATATTTAATAATCTTATCTTAAACAAGGTTACTATTTTTTAATTAATATATTTTAACTTCATTGTGTTTGTTTTATTCTTTCCTTTATCTAATTTATTAACTCAAATTATTAAATGAAATAACTTTCAAATATTTTATAACATATTTCTTGTACAGATATATTCTTAATATTGAGAAGATCAAATTAAACTACATTCACACCATATGCATATAAAATGTCCTTATTTTTAAGTAATTATATTGGTTACTTTGTTTCTCCGTTTTTTAATTATAGGAGTAAGAAAAAAATAATTTAGACTTTGATTTTTATGATTGAATTTATATTATAAAATTTAATATATTTAGAATTATAATATTTCATCTAATAATGTCATGACCATAAATTAATTAAATAAGTCCTTAATGAAAATAATTTTTTTTAAAAATTAAAAATATTTTTCACTCATGAGAAGTGCGTCACACTTCCTCTAAAATTAAAAATAATATATAATATTTTAAAAACTCTATAAATAATGCATGCGTCTTCCTCGTTTCTTTGTACAATATTTCTCTTTTCTCTCCCTCGATCGTATACTCTATCTTTTTATGCTGTTAATTGTTCTTAACATTTACTCATTTGGAGTTATTATATACTGATTTTTTTTATGTTCTGTTATTTAATTTATTTTTATTAATACACTAATCCTTTTTATTTTATGTTTTTATCATTAAATAGATTTTCAATAATATATGCTGCTTTTTATTTTTATTTGTTTTATTTAATTTGTGTTTTCATTTTTCTTTTACTTTCCATAATATATTTGTCTTTTTATTTTTATGTTTCTGGTATTTAATTTACTTCCAACAATATATATTGGTTCTTTTATTTGATTTATATATTAGAAAACAATTGTAATAAACTAACATAAATATTTCATATTTTTAACAACATATAAATTTTCAATTAATAAATCATATCAATTATGATTTAATTGTAAAAGATATTTAATTTTACCACAAATTATCATTATAACTGTGCATTCAAATAAGCTAACATTAGTTTGATAATGTTTTTTTTATATTTATTCTATATTATCTGACTCATTAATATATCTCTAGTATATTGCAAAATTTTCTTAAATGTCTTTAAATATGTTGAGAAAATTATTGAACCTATATCTAAACATATATAACATGATTTTAATTTCAAATAATTATTTACTAATATCCATGAGGTATTGATAAAGTCTTTGAAGAAATTTGAGAATTTTGTAAAATTACTATTTTAATTAATAATTATTTAAGATTTTTATCAGAAATTCAATTATATAGAACCTAAAATATTTATTAAAATAATTTGCATTTATATTTTATTATACTATTAGGGTTCGGGCATATCAATTTTAAACAAGATTAATAAGAAGCAGAGAATTAACTATAGAGGTTAAAAACAAATTCACCCTACCTTTAAATAATTTCGTCCAATAAATTGGTTAGGGCTCACAGCTCTCAAGACAAGATCTTTTGAAACATTTAATATTGTTATACATTGTGTTGCTGGTTATTGGAAGGTTATTTGGCGAAGCCATGACTTTTCACCTGTGTCACTGCAAGGATCGATATGTAGTAAACTCTTTGATTCTTTTATATAAAACTGAAATGGAACGAGGCTAAGGTTTTGTTGTAATTCTATTGCGATAATGTTACATACGTGCTGCAGCAAATTGTGTGATTGAAAAACAGTTTTTAAAGTAAACAGATGAAAAGTAAATAAAAAAGAGCCCTTAGTTGTCGCTAAATGTCTCTCTTATTGAAATGTTTGTTCAAACCAACGTAATGAGTGACAAGCACACCAAATAAAGAAGAAGAAGAAGCATCAGGGTGGAAAGCATATATATATTGGGGTTAAGATAAACACCCCAAAACCATTACAATTATTGTATAGAGCATTGGAGCTGTAGCTCTACATTATTTAAGGGTTTATATTACAACACAGCATAACACAGTATATATATCATGCATGTTGCCTAGCTTATATTTACAAATAACTAATAACGGCGACCATAGCGGTTCGTAGTTGAGGCGTTAAACCCACCCTTGATACTGCCCCCGTTACCATTACCATTGAAAGTACCAGTATTATTAAGAACCTGTTCATCGTAGTGCTCTGAGAGGTCATATCTGCTACGGTCCCCAGCATACTGGCCACTGTTGATGGTTGCACCCTTAAAATCCTGGGGGCCACTGCCATGGTTGTTGAATGAGTTTGAAGTACCATTATTTTTGGACCCTTTGGCTTGCTCAGCCTGAATCATTTCCATAATTCTCTGCATCAGGTCTCCCATTCTGATCTTTCTCTTTTCACCTCACCTCTCTCCACTTATTTTCTTATTGAATTGCCTTAACGTTACCAATTAACTAAGCCAAATATATAGATGCAAACAAAGGAATCCAATTCTTTTCTTGTTTATGCAAAGTTATGGCGATATGACATTTTAGCAGACGACTTTGGACTCGTTTGGATAGGTATGAGTCGCAGAAAATACTATCTCTCGTATCAACATGTGTTTGATGCAACTCCACAAGCTATTCTTGACCCCACAAATGGGGCCTCAACTATATGGAGAATATATCCATTTTTATTAGTTGCAAAGGGGCATGGTTCTTCATAATTGCAAAGGAGAGAATATATCCATTTCGAATTATACTAGCTGAAATTTGTGACAGATTGTTCGTTTACTGCATACATCATGCAAGCAATAATGCAAAATTTTGGATGACTAACTTTAATTAGGATAAATAGAACAAAGAATTTGAAATCTAATTCGATTATAATCTTTCATTTCAGTTATCGTCAGTGATATGACAGCTACCTATTTGGGAAGAGGAAATATCATTGTACGTTATGAAAATAAATCTTTCTTTGGATAGAGTTTTGGTAATATATAGTATGAGAAATTACTTGTCTCTAAAATCTATATTTACGTGAGGTTTTTTTTTTTTTTTTTTTTTTTATATCCTTTATTAAAGAGTTATAATAGATCAAACTAAAAATACTCATATATTATATTAGATTTCAACTTAACATTAATTGACGAGTGTGTTAGAATTAATTTAATTAATTCATTCCATTATGTGACTCATATGAAATATAATGATAGGCCCAAATGTGATTTAATAAATTATAAGGACCTATTGGTTATTATATGAAGTCAGAATAAAATAAAGATAAAATAAAATATTAACTTACGTAACCAACTTGATGGAAGTTGGTTAATAAAAGGGATTAGGGTTCGTCTCTGGCCATAAGGTTTTTTCACGGTAAACCATCAAGAAAGCGAAGCGTGAGAAGAGAAAGAGAGACAAAGAGATAGATTGGGAAAAGGAGATTGGAGAACGAAAAGATCAAAGAAAAGATTCTCATGGATCAATGTTAGTCTTCTTACTATGATTCATGTGTTGATGTATGCAAAATGTGAAAATCAATAATCTAAAGATCCTGTAGAGTAGTTTTCTATAATGAATAAAGAACGTAGGAAAACACTACAGAACAGTTTACATGTGGTATCAGAGCCTAGTTTATTAGATTTATGATTTTCCTCTTATGATAGTTTTTCCCAAATTAAGATAAACCCTAAGGGTTTTTCCCACATTAAGATAAACTCTAATTATGAATTTAGGGATTTTTCTATCAAATTAACGTGAACCCTAATTTATTCCCATAATATGTTTTTCCCAAAATTGAATAAAAGGACAAGCCCTAATTTATGGATAAGGCTGCATTTAATTTGAAATTAAAATTAATTTGATAATTTATGTGTTTCAATGGTTAGGCAATCCTTTTAATTGAAAAGAATATTTGGGTATTTTAGTGTTTGGCGTCAGTAATAATTTTTATATTAATTTCGCTGCAATTAATTAATGATGCAATTAAGTTGATGGTACCTGGACAATTGAAACAATTCACGTATGGCTAATGCAAGAAAAGCATACTTGAAATCAAGCACGTTTTCTTTTTGTCGCTTTTCATTTATTTCTGTTGCAATTGATTTAAAAGTTCTTAATGAAATGTGAATAACGGATCAAGTGATGTGGCGGTCACTGGAGGTGTTTTGGTGATGGATTCAAAGAAAAAAAAGATTGCATCCTGAAGACAAGGTCCTAATGGGTCCGTGAAGAGAGAGTCTTAATTAGGGATGCTCATTAGATTCGCTCTTCATGGGTCACAACCTCTCAAATGACTGGTTGACATTAAAGTATGCTAACACGAACGTAAGGGACATGTCCTGGAGAACGTGAAACGCAATGAACGTGTCAAAGTGGTTGGGATGGTAGAATTAATTTAATTAATTTATATTAATAGTAATTAAAAATATTATTTTATTTGAAATTAAGTATGATAAATTTTGTTAGTCACCAAAGTGGCCAAAATTTTAAGGTTATTTTAATTTCAAATTATTAATGATTTTATTTAAATTACCCATAGTATAAACGCTAAAATTATGAATAATTGGTTTATGGGTTAATTGAAGTTCATTATTATAAGACATTTCAGGATCACCCAAAGGTTGATTAATTGTTATTATAATTAATGAGCATGAAGGTAGATAATTTTTTGTGCGTCACTAGTTTTATTTATATACCCAAAGGTGTTAGGTGATTCTAGTTGATGCATATTTTAATTATCATTAATGTTATAAAATGATTAGCGTAATTATGTTTGTGTATTGGTGGATCTCCCAAAGGAGAACATTAATATGCAGATAATGGTAATTTATGGTTGAATCTGTATTTATGTTTAATTTTATGACTCAAAGTATTAATGTTAGGCATGTGTTAATTGCAGTATCTGTTCCTGTAGCTCTGCATTCGCTATCTTCGTCTGTTCCAATCTTTAATGGGTTAAATTTCCCTGACTGGAGTGAACAAGTCCAATTTCACTTAGGTGTGTTGGATCTTGATTTGGCTTTCCAAGTTGAAAAACCGGCTGCTATCACTGATGCTAGTAGTAATGAAGAGAAAACTCATTATAGAGCTTGGGAAAGATCAAACAGACTTAGCCTTATGTTTATGCGAATGAGTGTAGCAAGCAATATTAAGTCTGCTCTTCCCAAAACTGAGGATGCGAAAGAGTTTATGAAATTTGTGGAAGAGCGCTCTCAAACTGCTGACAAATCCCTCGCTGGGACATTGATGAGTACGTTAACCACCATGAAATTTGATGGTTCTCGTAGTATGCATGAACACGTAATCGAAATGACAAATATCGCAACAAGACTCAAGTCTCTTGGAATGGCAGTGGAAGAAAATTTTCTTGTGCAGTTCATTTTGAACTCGTTACCGCCTGAGTATGATCCGTTTCAGATGAATTATAACATCATGAAAGACAAATGGAATGTGCATGAATTGCACAGTATGTTAGTTCAGGAGGAGACCAGACTCAAGAACCTAGGAAGCCACTCTATTCATTACGTGAAAAATCAAGGAGTTAAAAAGAAAGTTGTTAAGAAACATGGAAAGGGTAAATGACCATTAAAGATTAACGAGTCTTCTACTAACATTCAGAAGAAAAATGACAAATGTCATTTCTGCGGGAAGTCTGAACATTTTCAGAAGGACTGCTTAAAGCGTAAAGCTTGGTTCGAAAAGAAAGGTGAGCATAGTGCTTACGTATGTTTTGAATCAAATTTAACTGAAGTTCCCCATAATACTTGGTGGATTGATTCTGGATGTACAACTCATGTTTCTAATGTGATGCAGGGATTCCTTTCAACCCGAACCATAAACCCAAATGAGAAGTTCGTCTTCATGGGGAATAAAGTCAAGGTTCCAGTGGAAGCTGTCGGGACTTATCGTTTGATCCTTGACACTGGATATCACTTAGACCTTATGGATACTTTTTATGTACCTAGTATCACTAGAAATTTAGTTTCTTTGTCTAAGCTTGATGTTGGTGGATACTCTTTTAAGTTTGGGAATAGTTGTTTCAGTTTATTTAAGCGTACATGTATGATTGGAACTGGTACACTTTATGATGGTTTATATAAATTGAATTTGGATAATTTATATGCTGAAACTCTCATGACCTTGCATCATAATGTTGGCACTAAACGTAGTTTGGTGGACGAAAGATCTGCTTATTTGTGGCATAAGCGTTTGGGACATATTTCCAAAGAAAGAATGCAAAGATTAGTAAAGAATGAAATCCTTCCGGATTTAGATTTTACTAATATGAATGTATGTGTGGTTTGTATTAAAGGCAAACAAACAAAACACACAAAGAAAGGAGCCATAAGAAGCACTCAACTTCTTGAAATCATACACACTGATATATGTGGTCCATTTGACGTAAATTCTTTTAATAAAGAGAAGTATTTCATCACTTTCATTTACAATTTCTCGCGTTATGGATATGTCTATTTACTATATGAGAAATCTCAAGCAGTAAATGCCTTAGAAAGTTATATAAACAAAGTGGAGAGACAATTAGACAGAAAGGTAAAAATTGTCAGGTCAGATAGAGGTGGTGAGTATTATGGAAGATATGATGAAAGTGGACAACACCCTGGTCCGTTTGCTAATTTCCTTGAGAAGCGTGGTATTTGTGCTCAATACACAATGCCAGGTACACCGCAGCAAAATGGTGTATCTGAAAGGCGTAATCGAACCTTAATGGATATGGTTAGGAGTATGTTGAGTAATTCATGTTTACCTGTATCGTTGTGGATGTATGCTTTGAAGACTGCCATGTATTTGTTGAACAGGGTTCCTAGTAAAGCGGTTCAAAAGACTCCTTTTGAGTTATGGACAAGTAGGAAACCCAGTTTAAGACACTTACATGTTTGGGGTTGTCAAGCAGAAGTAAGAATTTATAATCCGCAAGAAAAGAAACTGGATGCAAGAACAATCAGTGGATATTTCATTGGTTATCCAGAAAAATCAAAGGGGTATATGTTTTACTGTCCTACTCATAGTACAAGAATTGTTGAAACTGGAAATGCTCGGTTCATTGAAAATGGTGAAACCAGTGGGAGTGAAGTTTTACGAAATGTGGAGATTAAGGAAGTTAGAGTACAAGTTCCAATAACTAGTACATCTTCAAGAGTTGTTGTTCCAAATGTTGTAGAATCACACGACAATCAAGAAGAACAACAAATTAATGATCCTGTGATTAACAATGATCCGATAATAGAACAACCACAGGAAATAGTATTAAGAAGATCTCACAGAGAAAGAAAGTCTGCTATTTCGAATGATTACGTGGTTTATCTACAAGAGTCAGAAAATGACCTAAGTATTGATAATGACCCAGTTTCATTTTCAGATGCCATTAATGGTGATAATT